GGTGGTCTATCCTTAAATAATTGTTTTCCAACGAATGCTCAAATATGTACAAGTGACTCCCAAGTAATTAAATCAGAAATTTCCATTTTTTTACTTAACCATTGGCGAAAGAAGCAAAAACAAAAGAAAAAAAAGCAGGTCGATCCACCCCCAAAACTAGCAAACCAAAAAGGGGGAAGAAGAAAATGAATCAGTCCTAAAAGCGCTTCAATTCTTTCAACAACTGTAATTAAATAGACTCTCGAGAAGAGTGCTCAAGTTCGTTCCAAGACAGTGTTTTGATTGGCCCAAAAGTTTTCCAATTCAGTAAGAAAAAAGAGAGGTTCAAAAGTCACCAAATAGAGTCAGAAAAGTGCTGACCAAAAGCCATGAGATGGAATCAAAAAGCGCAACCCCTAAGCCACAAAACAGACCCAAGAAGTGCAGCCTGTAAGCCGCCAAACAGGCCCAAAAAGTGCAGCCAAACCAGTCCCTGAACAATCTCAAAACCGTGCATTTAAAGGCTTCAAAATCAGTGTTTAAGGGCTCCAACACAGCTCTCAACTACTCCAAACAGCCATTTCACACTTCTAAACAGCAACCTACAGCACTTTTCAAGACCCGACAGCACTTTTCAGGACCCGACAGCACTTCTACAGCTCTCCCAAACCTAAACAGCAGCTCCCTACAGCTCCCCTACAGCTTCCAAGACGCCAAACAGCCATTTCACACTTCCAAACAGCAACCTACAGAACCTTTCAGGACCCGACAGCACCTTTCAGGACCCGACAGCACTTCTACAGCTCTCCCAAACCTAAACAGCAGCTCCCTACAGCTCCCCTACAGCTTCCAAACCAAATAGCAGCTAACAGCTTCCCACAGCACTCACAGCAGCTAACAGCTAGCCCAAAAAGCCATCTACAGCAATGGACAGCACTTACAACCATTATGCAACACATTTCAGCGCATGTGGAGCCCTAAACAACATTTAGATGGTGCACAATTGGTACCAGGGAGACCTAAAAGAATATTTGGAAGGTTCGCATTCATACCCCCCAAAACCCCTCCAAAACAGTGAATATAGTGCCCAAAACAGTGAGGAATTTGAGCATAAATCAAACCCCCAAAAACCGTCCAAAGCACCGAATAAAGCAATCCCAAATAATGTTTTTGACCTTGCTTATAATAGCAAGTCACCGGCCAATGAAATCGTCATTTAAATCAATCCTCGGAATAGCATTTAATTAAGCATAAAAACAGTAGTTAAACTCATGAAAGCATGAGCAGAAATGACACCAAGAAAAAAAAAAATTCACATATATATCGCACAATCCCTATGTAAACACATGAGAATTTAGTGGCATATATGTAAATCTTCCTTCATTTTATGCACTGTCGGCTGAAAGCAATGTCTATAGCGTGTAATAACAAATCAAAACTGTGGCATTCCAAAAATATTAATTGTTCGTAACCATCATCACATGATGCTTTGTATCATGAGTAAAGCAAACCTCCAAGTACAGTTTTATAGAAATTGAGTTTATTGATTTTCCTGAAATCCACCACAAAAACAAAACAAGCAAGGAAATCATTACAACAGCTTGCTAGACATTAATGAGAGCATGCAAATGGGTAATTGAGACGAGGAGTTTATGGGAAGAATCGAACCTGTCAGTAAGAACAGCGGCTAAGCAAAAAAAAAAGGAAGAAGTGCAGGAATTTTGACTCTCTGTCACCTCAATCTCGTTACTGTCTCCTTGCTGACGTCAACCCCAATGTGAAGCCGAGCGGGAGAAAGACTTCGATGCAGGGTTTCTGTCGGGAGAAAGGAGGAGGTGCGATTTTCAGTGCAAAGGAAGAGGGGGGAGGTCGCACGCGAGCAAGGAGTCTGGAAGCAGGATCGAGTGAGGTAGAGGGAGGCAAGCGGGTCTCGGCCTCGGACGAGGGTAGACGAGCCTAGCGACTGCGAATCGAGAGGGAGTGAGTGGTATGTTTGGTCGTGAGGGAGAGGCGAGTTGAACGGTTGTTCGGACGAGCAAGAGAGGAGGCGGAGGGCTAGCAGGGGGAGCCGAATTTGTCAAGAGCGGGGGAGGGAGTCTGGGAGCGAGCTAGTGGTGGTCTTCGGCGCAGAGAAGAAGAAGCGAACTAAAGGGAGCGAAGGTTTCTGGGTGAGCTTTAAAGGAAGGCGAGGGTTTCGAGCCGGAGAGACAAAGCAGGTGAATGGGGTGCTTGTCTGTGAAGACGAATCCGGAGAGAACGAGAGCGAAGGGCTTCGGAGGCAAAGGGGAGATTCGGCTATGAATTCGCCGTGGGGAGGAGAAGAAGCGCCAGCCGGGAGGAGCTGGATTGAGCGTGAGAGTGAGGAGTTGAATGAAGAGCCCCCCGAGCCTAGTAAGAGGGAGACGTGATTTTTTTGTATATTTCCAAAGAGACGTTATGCGAGACTTTGGCGGGGAATTGAATGAATTCCGTTGATACACCCAGCTCAATTGGAAAATTTTAATTCTCAATTAAGATGAGATTAAATAACCCATTTAAAATTTGAAATTTTGAAATTTGAAAATTGTTTAACCCTTGTTTTGCCCGAGTCCAGCCCGAATTGAACCCAAGTTTGAACCTGGGTTGAGCCCGGGCCCACGCCCCGCTAAAAAAGATGTACATCGATCTTCGTGTTAATTGCTTACGCGCATAACCATAACAATATCCGTGTCCTTTCTAGCTAAAGACAACATTCCGGACGGGTCGGCGTGGTCCGTTTCGTCATCCAGGGTCGTCCAGACAAGTTCGCCAACGGTCGAGCCAAAAATGTGTCAACTTCAGACGTGGTGTAGCGAGTGTGTTGCTGAGTCACGGAGTTCACCTAAGGTCGTCTGATCCTGTAGGAACTCATTTTCGGGCTCTACATGTTGGACCTTAGTTTTTACAACTAGAAGTTGAGTTGTTTGGATCATACGAGTTATTCACAAAAATGAGTCAATAAGTGGTTTGAAATGCTATGGGAGGTGGGCTCCATTACTTGTCTGCTATGATGGTCAATAAGGAACTCCTAAAACTAGATCTTGGGTTCTAAAAGTAGAACACTAAAAATGAGGTCAACAAACCCTATTCATAAAAAGTTGTATTTCACTTTTAAAATAAAATAATAGTAGTATTCTTGATGTAGTATAAATATTTGAGTGGTTTGTCAGCAAATATAAAAATTTTGGTGTGTGGTGTCTGTAAATGTCCCTTCTTATATTAGTAATGAAGATACTTATATCACGAATCAAAAATCCATTTAAAGATTTTATTTTGCATAGAGTGCCAAGATTTCTATGATAATAGCATATTTTATTTAAACCTAATACTGAAAACAATTGTTTACAATTTTTGTTTCAAGGCTTTGGCATTTTTTTTTTTTAACTACAATTAATGAAAGATTTGCAAAATGTTTCTCCTCGTTTAATTCATTTTAAATTAACATGTATTTTCATATGCATTTTGATAAATTAAATACTCGAGAAGTGAGCAGATCATAGAATCTTCATTCGGATCAAATAACAATAGCAAAATTACAAGGGAGAAATTTTTACAACTACAAAGACAGTATATAAATATTTCCTAGAAAATCAAATCAATGCTCGTATGTATCTTATAAATTAGTATAAATCACAGAATTATGCATCACAAACCTCCTTGCTTATAAATTTAGCCATTCCTGCACCCATTCTCATGGTAATATCTTTGATTGCCACTTGATAACTGAAAGGTAAATTGAGAACAAAATATTATAGAAGTCTTAAATATGGGGTTGCTTGAATATATAGTTGCAGTGTACTAGCTACTTCATGGTGATAATATCGCTTCTGGAAATAAAATTGATTGAAAGACAAGCAATTGAGAAATTAAAAGATGGAATAAGTAAAAACATTTTGAATAACAGCTATAGTAAAATTTATAGACCTTTTATGACAATTAAAACAATAGATGAGGCTAAACAGCATTTCATAGTTCTAACCCAAGATTCCTAATGCAAAAGATTATTCTCCCCCACCGATTGCTAACCCAAAGATTCATACAATGAAAACTTCTTTTCTATATCGAGTAGAGGAATCAGTGCTTATTTTGTACTTCAAGCACTTTTATTGCAAGTTATCTAGCATCTGCGGGAAGAAAATTGGCCACATTATTTAACCTTGGTTCTCGACTTGAGGAATGCAACTTTAGTACTGTCTGCATAAAAGATATGTTAACCTGATAAACAAGAAAGACATGGCCTAGGAAAAATGGATAAATATTAAAAAAAATATCTAAGCCCCTTTTCCTAATCTAACAGCACGGTCTTCTCACTTAAGTGATTCATGGATAATGACTAGAAAGGATAACAAGAAAATAAAAGAGCAAAAAACGTGAACCCAAAAGCAAAAATAACCGGAGCACTGGATTAATTTTATTTCCATGGTGATTCATGGATAATGTCTAGAAAGGATAACAAGAAAATAAAAGAGCGAGAAGCGTGAACCCAAAAGTAAAAATAACCGGAGCACTGGATTAATTTTATTTCCAAACCTTTTCTAGGTGTGAGCATCTATAGGGATGCGGGATCGCATCCTTGGACAAACGGGGGCTGTGTTCCCATCTAATGTGAGACTACAGCGAGAATTTTCACACCTATTGTGGCCACCGGCCCTTGTCGGTCCCATTTTCCTTTTTTTTTTTAATGAGAAGTAGGGAAGAATTTTCACACCTACTGTGGCCACCGGCCCTTGTCGGTCCCATTTCCCATTTTCCTTTTTTTTTTTAATGAGAAGTAGGGTTAATTTATGTCGTAGTATAAGTAATTTGCCTAGAACCTGGTTTGGGCAACCTTTTGTTTTTTTTCATGTTATTTGAAGAATTAACTAAACTATTTTCCTAATCGGAGAATTGTACATACATTTCTTCATGTGGTGAATATGTATCTTGAAGAGAACAAGTAATAAATCTTCTCTCGGCAGTCATACCTCTGCGAGATAGCCGTTTTGTCATTCTCTTAGCTTTTTTGGGTCCAAGCAACCGCCGAACGCCTTCAATCCCACTCTAAACACCGCTCACTTTGCATGTCACTTTTCCTTGCTTTTCCACATTCTCTCCTCACAAAATCAGATCCTAAAACACCTAAGAATCCTAAAATGATGTCGCTTTTCTGAGTATAAAAAAGAGCTCTAAGCAAAATAACTTTCAAATGGGAAGATCATTACATTACACTGACTTTCCTTAGAAATGCTAAAAGTGAAAATGAAATTAAAATACAAGTCAAATTTACCAGTAGCTCTATCTACAACCTTGATGCTCAGAATCAAATACAATATGGCTATTAAAGATGAGTAGTGAAAAATTATTCATAAGATGAAACATCCATTATCAAAAAAAGTCAAAACATCTATTCTCTTTCAAGTATTAATTGCCATTGAAACATTATCTTCAACGAACCACTTAAGCTCAACAAAATTCCAAGTATGCTTCTAACTAGGCAATTAATAACCTCACTACTAGAATTTTTATTTTTCCTTGGCTAGATTATCAAGACCTTGAACAACCCAATTCCAGGAACACATCCTACAAACACAACACATATATTAATTTTTTTTTTCTCACTAACTATCAGTGTAATGTTTTAGCTTCCGTAACCTTCACACTGATCACATTTGACAAAAGTAACATTAAACTAGACCAGTTGTGCCACCTTTCTCACCATTATATAGTTAATGACCAAATGCAAATTGCAGAATAATTAATAATCTAATGTTAAATCAATTCTATCACAACTATATAAGACTATTATTCAAATTTAAGTCTAATAGTTAAACCAAATATCTGAACTTAATTATTTTTATATATTTAATTTGTATTAGTAGATCATTATTATATCATTTTAATCATATTTAAATAATTTTTGTAATTATTGTCATCCAGTTCAGCCCCCAATTCGACCCGGAACAAACCAATGAACCTTGAATTTCTCTCCCTCTCTCCTGGTTCGATGTCTGGTCCGGTTTTCACAACCTTAAATATCATTGCTTTATGATTCTCCAGCTGTTTTTGTTTGTGGATACCAATGCACTGCAATTATAATTAGTGAATCTGAGTAAAGCTAGATGGGATAAAGGGCAAAATGTATAATGACATTAAAAAACAGCAACTTCTAATAATTAGCACAGCTCTTGACAAGCTCAACAGGCTGATTCAAGAACAATACAGAACTGGTTCATGCAATTACTAGCTTTAGCATTAACCTCAATTGAATTCAATCTTTCAAAACATTCAATGATACTTATAATTTAGATCGTTTCCAAACTTTCTCAGTAAACTATATCAAGCAAGAACTTTTGTCTGTGTTCATATTATAACATATTTGTGACCCACGTCTGCAACTGTGCATCAAAGGAAGCAATAGGCTTGAAATATAATTCAAATAACAATCTTAGAAGATAAGGACCACAAAAAAAAACGAAATTAAGAAGAAAAATTTTACTTCTACGAAAGATAAAATCTAATAAGGATCACAAATATTTCTCAATGAAAGGTTTGTATCATCTTTCTTTATATATTCAAGATCAATATTAAATTTATTACAGCTACCATTGTTAAATAAATAATGCATTCATGGTCCAATTAGACTTCTAAATTCAATTTCTAAATATAAATGCAGGAATGAAAATCACCTTTTACCCAGCTCCAAGAAGGCAATTGAAATAAAATGGAATTTGTCCATCAGAACCTTGTAAGCGTTAGTACCACCTAGGAAAAAGATGTCAGTTAGCATGTGTAAAAGAATCCATTTGTAAAACATAAGGACAGGTTAAAACACTTTGTTATTGAATCTTCAGTTTGATTTGATATGACATAATATGTAGAAATACATGTCATATATAAATATTGTTTGTAAAAATATGGAAACTATTAGAATATAAGAATATTAATATACATAATTCTATATTAATTGCTTTGATTTGCTTTTATTTCCTTTCTTCTTTTTCTCTTTATTCTATTTTTATTTGTTTCCTTACTAATAAATCCTGTAAACGATATTTATACCCTTATTTACATCAATAAGATTTACCTTTTATTTTAACATGGTATCAAAGCCATGACCCTAAAATAGTTGTAGGGCTCCCCTTACAGCCGGCTAGGTCTGCTTTCAGCATTCAGAACCTCTGCCTCCCTGTCCAGATTCCTGCAGCCGGAAACTCTGCTCTCCTTGTAGCCAACTAGGTATGTGCTCCCCTAATCAAGTCGGTCAGGTTCTCGTCTCCAAGTTCTCGTCCACTAAGTTCCCAAGCAACTTCATCTATCCAGCTAGGTTCCCGCCTCCAAAGAAGGTCCCGTCTCCATTTTCAGATTTAGATTCTCTAACTTCAGATTTTCCCAGCCAATTGATGCCTCTCCAGAATATGAGATCCGATCGCCAGAACCTTCTTCCAACCTACCAAAATGATCTCTTCCAGCAGGAACCCCTTCCCAAGGCCATATGCCTTCCCTGCGGCAGTCGGAACTTACGATGACTCAACAACCTAACAACTCTTTTAGCATGGGAAATTCAATCATCTGACTATTTTGATTCGATTCGTGAACCACCAAAAACTTACCTAACGTATGGAGCTTGGGAAGTAAAGAATTTCATGGTCATGACGTGGTTGATCAACTCCATGGAGACTTCAATTGGTCGATCATACATGTTCCTTCCTTCTGCTAGTACCATTTGGACAGAAGTACGTGATACCTACTCAGATGTAGAGAGTTCCAGCCAACTCCATGAGGTGTATAAGACAATCTGTGAGGCAAAACAAGGATCCAAGATCGTGACCCAATACCATAATGATCTAGTTGAATTATGGATGGAATGCGACCTATACTATAACTACACTTGAGAATATCCGGTCAATCTCTCTTTTACATAAAACTATAGAAAATGACTGCATATTCCAATTTCTGGCAGGCCTCAACAAAGATTTTGACGAAGTTTAGGGTCGTATCATTGGTCGGGATCCTCATCCTCCTACTCACGTTGGTTTCACTGAGATTCATCGCAAAGAGAGCCGAAGACTTGTTATACTTGGTACTTTCACTCTCTCTATTGAAGCATTCGCCTTGGTCTCTAATAGTGCTCAACCCCGGGCTTGTCATCCCACTTGTGATTTATGTCACAAACCCAACCATACTAGTGATAAGTGTTGAAAGCTTCACAAGAAACATGCATCCAAACCTTCGACAAAATCTTCCAATGCCAAGGGTCTTGCTACAACATTTGAATCCAACTTGGTACAACCGACCTCTACCCAGAGCAATCTAAAATCCTCCAATTCTCTTAAAAGTCAAATGAAGCATGTTTAGCATGGGAAATTCAATCATCTGACTGGTTTGATTCGTGAACCTCCAAAAACTTATCTAACGTATGGAGCTTGGGAAGTAAAGAATTTCATGTTTTAGCATGGGAAATTCAATCATCTGACTATTTTGATTCGATTCGTGAACCACCAAAAACTTACCTAACGTATGGAGCTTGGGAAGTAAAGAATTTCATGGTCATGACGTGGTTGATCAACTCCATGGAGACTTCAATTGGTCGATCATACATGTTCCTTCCTTCTGCTAGTACCATTTGGACAGAAGTACGTGATACCTACTCAGATGTAGAGAGTTCCAGCCAACTCCATGAGGTGTATAAGACAATCTGTGAGGCAAAACAAGGATCCAAGATCGTGACCCAATACCATAATGATCTAGTTGAATTATGGATGGAATGCGACCTATATTATAACTACACTTGAGAATATCCGGTCAATCTCTCTTTTACAGAAAACTATAGAAAATGACTGCATGTTCCAATTTCTGGCAGGCCTCAACAAAGATTTTGACGAAGTTTAGGGTCGTATCATTGGTCGGGATCCTCATCCTCCTACTCACGTTGGTTTCACTGAGATTCATCGCAAAGAGAGCCGAAGACTTGTTATACTTGGTACTTTCACTCTCTCTATTGAAGCATTCGCCTTGGTCTCTAATAGTGCTCAACCCCGGGCTTGTCATCCCACTTGTGATTTATGTCACAAACCCAACCATACTAGTGATAAGTGTTGAAAACTTCACAAGAAACATGCATCCAAACCTTCGACAAAATCTTCCAATGCCAAGGGTCTTGCTACAACATTTGAATCCAACTTGGTACAGCCGGCCTCTACCCAGAGCAATCTAAAATCCTCCAATTCTCTTAAAAGTCAAATGAAGCATTTAATCAGGCTTGCTTGGATCCAGTCCATTCTCTTCCGGCCCGTTGACCTCCCACGTTCGTCAAGGTACCAATCCTATGACACTTGTTTCTTCTGCCCCTTTTAGTCTATGGATCATTGATTCATGTGTCACGGGCCACATGACTGGAAGCTCTCAAGCCTTCTCAACATATTATCCTTGCTCAAGAAAAGATACTATTAAAATTGTTGATAGGTCCCAAAGTTCCATTGTTGATAAGGGATCTATTATTTTAACAGGTTTAACTCTATAATCTATGTTACATGTATCACTGTTGAAGTGCAACTTTTATCTATCAGTACACTGACATATGGCATTCACTGTGTTGCTCATTTTTCCTCTGATGTCTGTCTTTCAGAAAACTATAGAAAATGACTGCATGTTCCAATTTCTGGCAGGCCTCAACAAATATTTTGACAAAGTTTAGGGTTGTATCATTGGTTGGGATCCTCATCCTCCTAATCACGCTGGTTTCACTGAGATTCATCGCAAAGAGAGCCGAAGACTTGTTATACTTGGTACTTTCACTCCGTCTATTGAAGCATTCGCCTTGGTCTCTAATAGTGCTCAACCCCGGGCTTGTCATCCCACTTGTGATTTATGTCACAAACCCAACCATACTAGTGATAAGTGTTGAAAACTTCACAAGAAACATGCATCCAAACCTTCGACAAAATCTTCCAATGCCAAGGGTCTTGCTACAACATTTGAATCCAACTTGGTACAGCCGGCCTCTACCCAGAGCAATCTAAAATCCTCCAATTCTCTTAAAAGTCAAATGAAGCATTTAATCAGGCTTGCTTGGATCCAGTCCATTCTCTTCCGGCCCGTTGACCTCCCACGTTCGTCAAGGTACCAATCCTATGACACTTGTTTCTTCTGCCCCTTTTAGTCTATGGATCATTGATTCATGTGTCACGGGCCACATGACTGGAAGCTCTCAAGCCTTCTCAACATATTATCCTTTCTCAAGAAAAGATACTATTAAAATTGTTGATAGGTCCCAAAGTTCCATTGTTGATAAGGGATCTATTATTTTAAGAGGTTCAACTCTATAATATATGTTACATGTATCACTGCTGAAGTGTAACTTTTATCTATCAGCACACTGACATATGGCATTCACTGTGTTGCTCATTTTTCCTCTGATGTCTGTCTTTCAAGGTCGTCGTTTGGAGAGAATGATTGAAACTGCTCAGCGGGTAGGCAGGTTCTATTTCTTCCAATAGAAAGCATTGAGAACGAGAACACTCCACTCAGTAGTTGCAGTTTATCTCAGTCCACTGAATGTTCTATTATATTTTTACACTGTCATTTGGGCGTGATAGTTTCAATATCTAAAACAATTGTATCCGTTGATATTTACTAATAAAAATCATTCTAATTTCAAATGTGAAATCTGTCAGTTAGTTAGACATCGTCGTGTTCCTTATCCACCCCACATTTATGCGTCTTCCGCTCATTTCTCCCTTATTCATAGTGACTTATAGGAAACCTCTCGCACTCTCAGCTACACCTAAATGGCGGTTCCTTCCTTTGATTGATGACCACACTCAGATGACGTGAGTCTATACTTAAAAGATAAATTTGAAGCTGCAGTCACTTTCAAAAACTTTCACACCTTTATTTTGACCCAATTCAAAACTCTTGTTCAAGTCCTTCAAACTAACAATTGTCCTGAACTTTTTAACTCTATATTAAGAGAATTTTTGGTAAATAAGGGCATCCTTTGTCATATCTCGTGAACGGACACTCAACAAAATTGGGTAGCCGGGAGAAAAAACCGACATCTCCTCGATGTAGTTCACTCCATTATGTCTCAGAGGGCATCCTTTATCATAGCTCGTGTGCGGATACTCCTCAACAAAATTGGGAAGCCGGGAGAAAAAACTTACATCTCCTCGATGTAGTTCACTCCATTATGTCTCAATCTAATGTCCCAAAATATTTATGGAATGATGTCATACTTTCATCAATAGTGATCCCTAAAAAATTCATAGCTTTTGAACATCTTTAGCCGTCTTAACATTGTGCTTTCCTAACAATCGGGTCTTCTCCACTTTAGATCTAAAAATTTTTGGGTGCTGGCATTTGTTCTAAACACGGACCCAACTCGAAGTAAACTTGAGTCCAGGTTCGTAAAATGTGTTTTTCTCGGATACTCTGACACTCAAAAGGGGTATTGGTGTCTGGACCCTCCACAAATAAGGTCTATGTGAGTATTGATGTCTCCTTTATCGAAAATGTTCCCTACTTTCCTAACTCTGCCTCCAGTGCGGGGAGCTAAAGTTCTTGGGCATTGTTCCTTACCCATGGCAGCCACCTGCATTGATCTAGCAAGTCTTTACTAGCCCAAGGCAATGCACAAAACAGTGAGGTTTTGCTACAGTATGCAAACACTGAAGTTTCATTGTACTCGTGTATAAATATTACAAGAGTAGAAAATGTTATTCAATTAAGAAAGATCACACCTACGAACAAAAAAAATGTCAAAAATGAGTATATGCTAACAATAGAAGGAGACGAATATGGGCAAGAATATGTCTACATATACACATGTACATTTTCAATGACCAGAAAAAATTAAGAGATAGCACTCTTTGTAAGGTAAAATAGCCAAAAATATGTTGAAAACCACATGAAACAGAGCTGTTGCACATGAAAGCATGAACATGTAAAATGGAAATTTCTTTTAAACTTAATACTTCTTCCAGTAGTCCTTACAAGATGCTGCCTAGTGCCCACAAACACAAAAAGTTTTAAGTGCGTGTATACTATCAATATAAGGAGACCAAAGAATAGAAAAGAATCTCGGAGACCAGAGTATAGAAAAGAATCTCCATATATAGATGTATAGATTGTGCATGACCAGAAAAAATTAAGAGATAGCAAGTCTTCGTAAGGTAAAATGGTTGAAATAATATTGAAAGCCTCATGAAACAGAGCAGTTGTTCTTGAACGCATGATAAAAAAATGAAAATTTTTCCTTTTTAACTTGTATGCTTCAAGGAGTCCTTACATGAGAAATGCCAGTAACGATCATACATGTGTTCATGAAATCCTAACAAAATCGGCACCTTGATGTCAACTGGAATGCTTGTATCATCCTCTGCAAAAGAGAAAATGAAAACAAATCATTTCTGATGCTTCTTCGCTTACATGGATTTTGCAAGAACATGATAAATCATTTCTGATGCTTCTTCGCTTACAAGGATTTTGCAAGAACATGACAAATTTGATGTACACATCTGGTTGAAACTTTTCAGAGCATCATAATATTGAATACTGCCTAGAAAATGCCAATCTTGTCCAAAATAGAAGTGTAAAAAATACATTTCTGGCAAGCTTGCCCAATGTAGAACAGCCTAAAAATATGTTTCTGGCAACTCAAACAAAACTATAATTCAACTCAAGCACAGATTATTCAGTAAGAAAATAGCGTTGATAATGCACGTCTCTAAATGTTATACCGTGTCTTCCAATATCATGTTTCTTCCATTTTTTTCACAACTACCCATCGGAGCATATTTGCAAGAAATGAAAATCAATGATTTTAGGGTCATTTAGAACGAAGGGCCTTGCCTGCCACTAAACTCTGCTTGGCTCTTCAGCAAGCCTGCACAGGCGCAGTCAAGGCTGCAGCATCGTCTACAAAGGGGCTAGTGAAAGAGGCACTTGCCCAGACAAGCAATATAAGGTTGTGCAGGGCGTCAATCCAAACGAAGGCTTAATCTCTTTGACATGCAAATAGCACTTTGCATACTTTGTTTCAGTGAGTTTAGTTTGTTAATGTTAAAGCTCAATAAAAAGCCATGTTAAAACTGATAATAAAAACAATTATCACAAAATATAATGCAAGAAACTAGAAAGGTTTCGATAAATGTCTAATATGAACACCAAGAAAAACTTAAATTTACAGTCAATTTGCCAGTCATATTTTTACACATTAAAATGTAGATTCTAATTACCGATTCATCATATTTTATTCATTATAATAATTCTAATGATGAAGTAATCATAATTAATTAATATCAATAATATTATCCTTTAGTCTTCCTATTGAATAACTTACCTTTCATCCTCGAGAACAACTTTAGTGATTTGATTTCATAAGAGTTTAAGCAGTCATGCTTTTCCAAACGTCAAACAGCAGTAACAAATAACACGCAAACGAAAAGGCCGAGTTCATATTCTTTCATGAACAAGTTATCAAATCCAGTACTGAGAAAGTATTATTGGTGCCAAGCGAGATGCTTCCTGAGTTTTACTATAGTTAATATAACCATATTTAGTCATTTACATTATGTAGTTTATCCTTATTTGTCATTTTATCAATTATAAAAGATAAAACGATTATCATTATAGATATGCTTCTCCATAGTTTAATGCTAGTATGGCAGTGTTTGTTAATTTATGGCTACTATGAAAAATAGTAAGCCTTGCAATTTAGGTAGATATGAACTGAACAAAAGAAAAGTGTCTAGTCAATTACTTCTTTTTCTTTATCGCATCAGTTTTTTCTCTACACAAAATTCCTTTATACAACAATCTCTATTACAACTATCCTACCTACTATATGCACCATGCACTCACAGCTTTATCAAACACAAATTTAGTCAATTACTGATCAGAATATAGCGGGAATTTCAATTTTTTAAATTTATGAAAAAACTTTATCTGGGTACTTTGCAAGCACAAGGCAATTATTTGGCATCCAACTTGTCTTACTCCATGAGCATGCCTAAATTAAAAGTGCATGAAGATGCATACAAGGGCAAGTGTTATGATCATATACAGCATGAAAATTATTCGCAAGAAAATTACAAATTTTATGATGCATTGAAGTTCTAAGAGCACGCAAAAGGGAATATTAGTACAGGATATTCTGCAGTCTTTCCTGTAGTTCTCTCACTGAATCATACAAAACTTCTCCACTCCCAGCGTAACAGTTTACAGATTGAAAATGATGTATGACACTTTATTTCCACTACTTCACTTTCTCTATTACAAGAATCTTCACTTTATCCACCAGCAACTTTGGACGCCTAAACATATAGGAATACTCTATTAATGATTTACATCAAATGACTAACTACATGATGTGGAGCCCTACGTATACCTGATTTTTTTTTTTTTATCATTGTCAAATTTCAAGATATCTTATATAGGTTGTATAAAAGATTTAGATTTAACGTACTTTTTATAATTTTTGCTCAAGCATATGTTCATAAACAGTATGCATGCGAGTATTTTAAAATATTTAAATCGCTCTATATGGCGCAATAATGGCAAGAGTTTCCAGAAGCCCGTCCTTATGAATAATTTTGCACTCCTAAAATTACCTGTAAATATCAAAACAGTTTTGACAGCCCACAAGTAATGCTAAACCGAATTAACAGATAAACAACATTTTAACAGATTAATATCTAATTAACCTCAGTGCAGATATTTTAATGTTTAATTAGTTAAATTCACAAGAATAAGAAAAAAAGCACACAAATAAAGCTTTCACATAAGTTTTATAAGCTCAAATGAAAGTGTTGTTCCAATTTGAATAAGCAACTTTTAAAACTCATCATATCTCAACAAAAACTATAGTGAGGTCATCAACGACAGATATAAACCACCTTAATAATAAAGAAAGCTTCCTAATGATTTTTCATAAGCAATTAGGAACACCAAGTTCAAAGAAATAGGATTACATCACAGACGTTAAAGGACAAAAAGAAGTGAACAGAGCTGACATACCAACAGTATCAAGGGCTCTGAGAACCAAATAGAACACACACACCTGCACAAATAAAGTTCTAAGTCAAAAATCTTGTAGCAAAAAAAATGCCTTACTTTCATAAACACATTAAAAAGTTAACTAACACATGTTCATGGATGCATACATACATATGCAGAGGAAGTCGAGCTCAGGTGCAATCATTTGAAAAGAATCATTGCTATTGGAAAAGGACCTATTCTAAAGATTTGCTATTTTGAGTTATTTGTCGAAAAAGCGTGAACAATGAAAGCTACATGCGTAGTTTGAGGAGGGATCTTTTTCCTTTATGGAAATGTAAATTATATAATCTATAATATTTTGATGATCAAGAAGAGTCAGAAATGAAAAAAACAAGATGGATAATGTTGATCTATATTAGAATTGGATAGAGATCAAAATTTAATAAAGTCAACTTTAGTCTTCAATTAATACAATTCTTCTTGATCTATAGTGTTCAAGTAATACAATTCTTCTTGACTTCAAACAACTTCCTTCGGATCGTAGAAATCCAAATAGAGTTGTTGCTGAGAGGTTGCATTTATTGTTCTACAGATCCAAGTGTCATTTTTTCCCAATTTTTGCCTAGTAGTTGACAAGTTTCACTTGGTTTGGAATTTTCCTTTTTTTAACCTATTTAAGGTGATATTCACTATGTTTCCAGATCAATTTAAGTACTTTCATAATTTAGTGTTTCAAGAGTTTTAAAATGCATTACTTTTCTATAAATATTTGCGATTTTATTTTGCAATGTAGTATCTTGAATTTTTTGGCTCACAATTATTATAGGAGTTTTGGCTTGCTACCTCAAAGTGTATTTATTTATCCTTGTAGAATTTTTCAAAGGGAATTCACAAGTTAATTCACGACAATTTGTTTTTTTTTTCCGTCCAACTAATTGTCCATCTAAGGTAAAGTATATGGAATTATAAAAGGCTGGAAAGGATACTATTATAAGTAAAAGGTGTAACGACCAATTAACCAGATTGAGGAAGCTTGAAATTTCGAAAAATGGTAGGGACTAATTAAAGTATTTTTAAAATGTGAATTAATGTGAAGTATAATCTATACCTCAAGAAACACATAGCTCAACCAATAAAAAACAAATAAGAAATTTAGGTGAAAAATATGTTTCCTAATGTACCTTTGGATCATGTACTTCTCAAGCTAATGGGCATGTCCATCTTTCTTAAAGTGATATTGAAAGATATTTTATTCAAAACAAACTCTAGCGCGCCTTTTTTATCTTACAAATAAAAATTTGCAAAACAATCATTTAACAGTTACTCCAAATAGTATTCTCATTTTTATGGCTTCATCTTCTACCATGTTATTGTACAAAAATAAGTAGACTGGAAAGTGTTGTTTCAAAAAGTACTGAAATAGAGAAAGAATTTTTATTGAACTTTATATCCACTTAATTGAGTATATTCAACCCTTTATTTTCTTTCTTTTGGTTTGCCTTGTATGCATTCATATATAAGAAACCCTTGTTGTTTTCCTCCAGATTGATCTCATATAGGAATAACTTGCCAAGCACCCAAAATACTACTAGTCGCACAACGGCCGCAATACTCACTGCAGCCTAACGTTCTTGCTCAAGTCTCCACACATCATGCACACAAACATGTGTTGTGTATCATTGCCATTCACATGCCTGCATGCGTCCGCACGTGTTATCCATCTGATAACTGATCCAGAATATCAAAAGCATGAGGAGAGCTGCCAACCTAGTCAATAGTTTAAATGGATGTTATCTTTTAGTAGAACAAAAGCAAGACCTCGCGAACATTCGGATTTGTTTTCTAAGAATCGCTATGTTTGACAGTATATGAAGGCAAATAAGCATCCAAGCCTTTTATTTCGCTTGGAACGTCACTATGCACGTTTCAATGAAATCTTAGTAACGAATTGAGTTCCTCGCCTGCAGAGAAATAAATCAAATTAGAATTTGTTTTTTAACTTCTGCGAAGCCAAAGTTTAATAATGCTCTTTCTGAAGTTTTAAATCGATGTGTTTGCAACTGGATGCCGTCGAAATCTGCAGGTATAGACATCAAGTTCAATGACCTCCCATATCTCGGACTTATCTAACATAAAAAGCATCGACATCCTCCCACTTTATTTGGTTTTAGTACTAATAACTACCCTATTTCAATGCCTAAATCCACAGAGAAGCGAAAATCCGTAACTGTATGAGCAATCAATTATTAGATAACAAATAGCGAGAAGACGGACTGCAGCATCCCGCACTGATCCACGATAAACTAAAAAGAAAAAAAAAAGGCAAAAAACAGCATGGAAAAAGCAATAACAAGCCGAATTCAAAGGACCAGAAATAATCGATGGGCGTCAAGAATGCCAAGGGAGGAGTAAGAGGTAATTCTTACTGCATTGCGAAGATCGGCATCAAGCTGCTGGATTACCAGCGCAAAGCTGCGGGAGACTTTCTGCAGCATAGCATAGGCAAAGCCCCAGTGCGGCTCCGTCGGGATCTGTCTCTTGATCTTCTGCGCTGCCATCATCATCTTCGTCAAAGACATCAGATCCTCTGGATGCTGCAGTACCTCCTTAACCATCCCCATTGCCTCTCTCCCTCTGCTTCTCTCTCTCCTGGTGGTCTCGAGGGCTTTTTGTATTGGTTTCTCCGTTCGGTTTCCTTATAGCCGCCCACGGAACGGATGTCCGCGCCTCTTTCGCGAATCAGGAGTTTTATTTATCTATGAGCGTGTTGAACCAGGAGGCGTTTTGCTTTAATAATATCACATGCCGAATCAACCTTCTCATAATTTTATTTCTAACCACTATTTCTTACTATTATTATTTTGATCTTTTGTCTGTTTATGAGCATAATATTATATAACGATAATTTCATTACGCCACATGTCAGGCCTGCCACAATATCAACATTTTTTATAATGATATACTAATGGAATAACATAATGAAAATGAGTGTTTAATTTTTTTTTAATAATTGATCATCTTTCTATCTTTGTCTTTTGTGCCTCTATTTTTAATTATAAATCCACTTATTTAACATTTTGTGCCACAAAAATCACGGCAATGGAGTTATATTAATGTCTCACTCTTGTATAAAATTTCAAACACAAATAGATAAAAGAGTAGCTGATAGAAGGGATACCATAAATTTTTACGTTGAAAATTAAAAAGAAAAATAACACAGGGCTTAACTCAATTGAAATGTTTCTACTATTTTGAAGTATGTTACAATAATTCACTTGCTCTTAAACGGTAAAAAAAATAATATTACAAGACTGAGAGAAAATATTATGGTAGTGACAATGGCCTGATTATAATTATGGAAAACAGATGATAGATGTTATGTGATGGCGATTAAGATTTGTTAACATCAATGGTGGTGGCTATTAGGCACCAATGATCCAACAACATTAATAATGATAGAGAGGTGAAGGTGATTGATGATGGTGATATAACAAATGAGGTCTAGTAATGGCAATGGTGTCAGCCAGACACTGGTTGTCTAACAACATTTGTGAGAGCGGCCAAACAATGATGACAGCAACAACAACAACAGCCAGGTGACTGTGTTTTGATGGTGATAAGTGAAGGTAGTTTGACGACAATGGGGGTTGAGATAGTGACCTCGCGAAGAAGATAGTGGTCTGGTGATCACAACGATAGTTGTGGCATCGATAAGGCAATAGTGGTTCACTGACAATTATCATGTTCTAGAGACTTTAGCCATGTGATGGTGTTCTGGTGAAGACAACAGCTAGTAGATGGTGATCCAACAATAATGGTATTAACGAAGTGTGTTTTGGTAGCCAACATAAATTAGATGATTGTGATGTGGGTTTAGTGGCATCATTTGGGCTATAGTGTTTTGACAATGATGACGACCAAACAATGGTGATGGCAGTAGTGTCATTAGTCTATCGACGATGATTCGATGATGATGGTGTATTGTGACAACAATGATGTTCGATCAGCGATAATGTAGTGATAGTCATTTTTTTTATTAAGAGATGATGGTTTGGAAATAGTCTGACTAAGGTGGTATGGTGTGGTGGCAGTGGTGGTCAGGTGATTGTAATTTGATGTAGCAATGGTCGGAAGATGATGGCTCAACAATGATTGTTGTGGTTTGATCCTGGAGGCATGATGGCAACAATAACAAATTGACGATAATGGTCTAGTGGTGGCAGCAATGGGTTTGCATCAATTAAGTGATAAGGGTCTTACAACGACGCTAACCTAGGGTGTTAGTCCAGCAAAATGGTGGTATTCTGACAGTAGTGATCTGATGATGGTGGTGGTGGCCCAACGTCGGTCAGGTGTCGGTGGTCCAGTGGTAGTGTTAGCCTAATAAAGACGGTCTGTCATAATGGCGGTAGCCCATAATTGAGGGTCTGGTGATGGCGATCGGACGGAAGTAGTGGTGGCCTAATGAAGGTGAACTGAACGTAAAAATGATAACTTAGCAACGGTGGTCTATAACGATGGCATTGACTCAATGTATGTGGTTTTGTACGGTGCTGGCGTTGGTCAAGTGACAATGGTCCTATGGCAACAATAGCCCAGGGATGATAGTCCAACACAACAGTGACAATTCAACAATTGTAGCATGACAAAGATGGTTCTCACTCAACAATGATGACAACGGTGGATCAATGTTGATCAGATATTGGTAGTCTAGCGATGGGGATAGCATGATGATAATCGTCTAGCAAGATTTTAGTGGTCTGGCAACGATCACTTCACATTGACAATGTGACTTGACGGTGATGGGCGAACTGCGATGATGGTGACTGGCACACATAAAAATTACCTACTTTTTCATACATATTTCATGCTCAAATTTAATGATTTTTAATGATATTATACTTTAAATGAAGGTATTTTGCATATTTTTAGTTTCAGGTACAAGAAATGAAATTTTAGAGAAAATGAAACAAAAATGGAGTAAAAACAAGCAAGAAAGAAAATTGTGACTTGACACATTTCGATGTCTTTCTATGTTTAATCTACTTTATATTTCTCACATGTTTTTGAATGAAATTACACTTTAAATAAAGGTTATTTTCATGTTTATTTTGTAGGTATATATGTTAGGTATATGTTTATTTTGTAGGTATATATGTTAGGAGTGAAATGTGACTAAAACAGGGCGAAACGGAGCAAAATAGTGGAGCTACTGCAGGGTGGCGCATGATGCGCCAAAATCCAGAGAACTAACGCATGATGCGCCAATTTGGCGTCAGATGCTTCGGACATGACTTTTTTGCAGATTAAGGCGGTTCGGGACAAGTTTTTGCGTGAATTTCCAAAGGGACGCTTGTTCTAAAAAACCCTTGGAGTGATTCAATGCATTTAAACACTTTGGAAGGTTCTTCTATGAAGGGATATGTCTCTTGGATCAATGAACATGTATTTTGAATTCAAAAGAGTTAACTTTTAGATAGAATTTTGGAGGAAATTTTGAATCTTTTTTGGAGGGAGACAACCTTTTATAAAAGAGAAGGAAGTCTAGGGCTTAAAGTAAGAAGAGTTGTGTAGGTGTGAGCTTTATGTGTGTGTGTGTGTGTGTGGCATGAGAGTGAGAGGATGGGCTTGGAGATTTTATTGAAGAATTGTAAGAGGAGATGGAAGGTGACAAATTTCTTCTTCAATACATTTATAGTAGAGAATTGAGAGTACTTTTAAAGACGGAAAGTACTTGAAGAGAACTTCTAGGGATTTGCTTGGGAATGATTGTGAAATAAATTGTGTTCTTTTTTTTTCTTTATTTTGTAAACTTATTTTTATATATGAAATTTGTGTTTTGTCGTATCCTTCTCATGAATTCTTAGTTGTCTTCTTTATTCTTCTCTCTACTTTAAGATATGGTTTTATGAAGAAGTGATTTTGTTTTATACAGTTTTAAATGTCAGTAATATGTAATGATTCAAACTCTAATTTTCATTTACTTTTTGATCTGATCAATTGAAATGTTAAAATGTGTTGAGAAACATATGTTTCGAAAGGGCTATGATTTCAATAACATGGGGAAAATCACATTTGCTTTCATGAGAGAGTTTGTCATCTATGAAATTGAGTGCAAATAAATAGGGAAAAATAATTTGTTTGATGCAAAATTGAATATTTTAAGGTGACAGATTAAAATCTCTAATTTGGTTCAGTTGATTAGAAACTGATGCGAGAGAAACTGATGCGAGATAAACTGATGCGAGATTGTTAACCCTCAGGTGAGGGAATAGTGGGAGCTTTGGAGTAGCAGCATGTATCCTCCCAGCCTAACCACAAAATTAGGACTCAAATTCTAGATTAGTCAATGTTTTTTATAGCACTCAGAATATGGTAAAGAATACGATTGCTCATATTTGACAAAAAAAATTTTTTATATATTTTTAAATGATTTTAATTTCTTCACAATTCATATACTCATTGTAAATGAGAAGAAGGTTTTCTTAAATTTGAACTCATTGTCACAAAACTTTGTTTAATCTTAGTAAATTTGGTTTTGATGTTTAGAAATTAATTTAGTAAACTTAGTTCTTTTAGTTACATTTTTGTTATCATTCATTAAACCCATTTTAATTTGTCTTTCTTACTTTAATATTCATAGTTTAAATATTGTGATTTACGTTATTATCATAAGAATCTTCATCTTCCAAACTAAGATTTGATTGTAGTAGACTAGAATTAACCTAAGAGATTTTTTAATGCGCTTCTCTGTGGGATCGATATTGGGGTTTTTAAAAAAAGTTCTATATTACTTGAAGTGATACGTGCACTTTCGTATAACCATTAGTGTATGAATTATTTGATATATTTTATAACATTTTAATTTTAACCGCTAAATATAAATTGAGTCAAGTTTTTTACCATATTTTTGAAAGTTAAATTATCGCGTAATTTTGTGACGGGTCAAGTTTTTTGCACTGTATCGTGGATTTAAATTGACATAAAACACGCAGAAAAACTACACACACTAGGGGCGCATCAGTGGCAGAAATCAAAAGTCTGACATGGTGGTGGTGGCTTGGTATAGGTAGGGTGACGGTGGCCTTGCAGTGGCGAAGACCTACGAAGGGTCTAATAATGATGAAACTTGAGAATCCTTAAGAGCTTGAAGGTCCCTTCAACATTATCACGACAATTTGGTCCGCCTTACATGAAGAGAGTATAAATCTATTTTTATATTTTGTGAGTGGTATCAGTCATAAATATTGCATGAGTGTGGATGACTCCATCAAGTATTTCATTTTTTTTGTTTTTTTTATGAATGATGTCAAAATTAAGAAATCCTTAGCTCATTAGATATGTCTCATCAAGACACTCAATTTAATTATAAGCTTATCATTATTGGAGAACATTTGATATCTTCATGTATGCTCCAAAACTTTTCTTTGTACTCTAAGTGCACTATTTGGGCTCACTTAGGTTTGAATCAGATCATTTTTTTTATATCTTTTAATTTGTCTCATTGAAACGCTCCATTTAATCATAAATTTGAGTGCGAGCATTTCCAATTTGAATTTTTTAAACTTACGATCAAAATATGCACTGAGATTCATGTAGATCAATATGATGTATTAAGAATGTATTAATTTATATTTCATAGTTATTATGGAACCCAAATCTTAAATCACACCCAAAAAATAAAGCATGTTAAATGAGAGAAAATAGGGGCAAAAAATACTAGTTAAATTGAGATCAAAATAAGCAAGATAAGGGAGATTCATAGAAGATTTTTCATTAGCTCTCTGAACATGTGAGTTTTAAATTCTTTTTATATTTAATATCCCTTATTTATAGGGGTTGGTCTTTATGAAACAACACATCTCGACCTATCATTTATACACCTCTAGACCGAGAAGTGTATAATTTGGTCATATTCTCACTAAAGAATTTGAATCTTGGAGAAGTCATCATTATATTAACTACTTCAGTAACATAGGTAAGCCTTAAGCTTCAGGGGATTATCATATTTGATCTTTTGTGGAAGTTCTTTCATGCCCAACCTCTTGCAATTTGTCTCTCGTGGCTAACCTTTTGGGTCAACTTCTGTCGGTCGACCTCTTAAGTCGACTTATGGTGTTGGTGTTTTTTTTTTTCCCGAGTGCATCTAGCTCATATCTCAAAAGATTTTTTTCTTTTAATGATCAGATAAGTTATTTTAAGAATAATATACTACTCTGAGGTGAAAAAATATTACTTTGAATTATTCTAATCATCCGGATTATGAAAATTCATATGATTTATGAGTCAATGTTAACTAGGAGTTTTTCTCTTACTATATGGGTGTAAGATAATATTTATTTTATTATGGAGCATGACATCCCTGCAAGGGTAAACCCAAATAGTTAATTATATTTCTAAAGAAGTGAACTCCAACCCAGGAAAGAATGTGTTAGGAGTGGATTCTGCAACAACTAATCGATCTGTCTGACATATCCTTTGAAATGATTGAATGATAAAAAAATCTACCCGAACATATTCACAACAATAGAGGAGAAGGGTTGATCACGTCGTGTGATCGGAGTCGCTTGCTATGCTTCCTCGTAAGAAACTGGCAAAGCCTTTAACTGTGGTTCCCGTCAAGCAAAACACCTAACATCTTCTTGAACATATTTGCAATAGCAAACGAGGAACATAAAATACCGTCTGCATACACTAAGAAGGAATGTGCTAGGACTCATATCAAACCTAGGAAGTAAGTGGGGATTATGCAACAACAGATCAATCTGTCTGACCTATCCTTCGAAACGACAGAATAATGAAGAGCTCTGCCTGACTATATTTGCAACAATTGAGAAGAAGGCTCGATCAACTCCTGTGATCGAAGCCATATGTTAGGTTTTCTGGTAAAAAACTAACCAAGCCCTGGCTATGGTTTCCATTGAACGAAACACCTATTTAACATCTGCTTGACCATATTCACAATAGCAAATGAGGAACATAAAATAAAGCATGTATACACTAGAAAGGAATGCGTTAGGACTTCTATCCAGACCCGAAACTCACCCGCCCACCCCCACCCCGGCCTTCTTCCATTTTAGTGTTCAACAAAATGCGGTCCCCCCATCCGCGAAACACATGAGAATTAAAAGTACCAACATGCGATTTCTTCGATTCCAAAATGTGCACGCAACAAAAAAAGGCCTCCCAAACGGGGCTTAAATGATTCAATATCATGTTCAATCAAAGTTTAACAATAATATAACAAATCATCATCATATATACGAGGAATTTAAATTATGTTAATGTTGTGCTTTGCTTCATCGAGAAAGAAAAAGAAGACATAAGTGTAAGAGGAAGATAGAGAAGGAGAAGTCAATGACAACTTACTCTTCCCCTTCTTCGATTTCCTCTCCCTAGGCCTTATTGCAACCAAAAAAAACAATAAATCACCCCTACCCTACCCAAAGTCACCAAATTATTGAATCTTTTAAAGGATGTCACCAACCTTTGCCTTGCAAAATTGCATCGAAGCTCCCCACGTTCATCGATTGCTCTCCCCCCCCCCCCCCTCTCTCTATCTCTCTCTCAATTTAGTCAACATTCGCTCTCGTTTGAAGCCTTAGCTAGCCGCTTGCTCTTTCTCGCCCTCGGGTGATGCCCTAAAATCCAGATTCGGGATTTAATATAGGGTAGGCCAGGAAAATGAGTTTGATTCTAGTCATTATAAAAATAATAATGCTTGTCTAGACGAGTGATTGTGCACCTAATATTTAGACATTTTCAAACCGATTTGGAAGGTGGTTAAAATATTTGATAATGTATTTAGAAATTCATGAGGCTTTAAAGTAAATAAATAATTATAAGAACTTTATGATTTTAATGGCATTACATTAAGAGAAAAATAAAATTTCATTTTACATTTTATGTCAAATTAAACACCAAATATATGTTTTTATTTTTAATAATAGTAAATCAGTCAAGCCCTTAAAAAATATCAATAAATATTGAATCAACTTTTTTTGGCGAGCCCTCAAATGGCTTGTTGGGATTCTTTTATTTTACTTTCAACCAATATATTGTTATGAACGAGTATTTAGATTGAGATCATCATAGCAAGACCCTTTTTTTTAAATTATATTGGGAAGTTTAGCATTTGTGGTAGTATATAAAATGTGGTTTGAATACATATCTCATGTCATAATTTAAAAGAAGACTACCAACTTCTCAAAAACTATTGCACAATATTATGTGGCCTTTAGTATCATTTGAACAACTCATTACTCAAAGTGATATGTGGCACGAGTTTGCAAAACATCACACACACATCAAGTCCAATTGTACAAATTTTTTGTTAAATGTCCTAAAATATCCTTAGATCTAGCAAAATAGTTTATATTAATAAGAATTTTCAGAACTGGAATTGCGGCTGGAGGGACATGACACAACCTCAATTGTTAAATTAAGCTCTTTCAAATATGTAGACACCTCATTAAAATTTAAAAGGAGCAATTATGAAACCTAAAATATTGCTATTTACAAATTATGTACTTCTATCATTAGTTTTTCAAAATCTCACTCAAATATAATAGCTCATGATAAAACCCCAAATCATATTTTTCAGAACCATCAAATTCACAATAACTTGATTATGACACACACAAATACATCAATTTCATAGTTCAAAGTCACCTAGATGTTTTATTGATAAATATCAATGTTTCTTAATTATTCCAAATTTAAAATGCACAGATTTATCATATAAGAAAAATCAAACCTTAAATATAAAATAATCTAACAAATAAATAAATAAAATATTACTTTAAAGTAGTTTTGAAAGCATGAAATGGAAGAATTTGACTATTTTATGCCATGATGAATTGAACCGATCGGCATGGAGAGCTTCGACGAGCACGTAATAGGAGTCAAACGCATAACGGTTCGTCATTTATATATCGTAGCTGTAAACCACCTCATCTTTACCCTAATCACCCAAATTCCCGAAACCCCCGAAGACGAAGACGGCGTCGACGGCACTAGCAGCGTGTGAAGGAGAAAGAGGAATTCGTGAAAGGCTTGCGGATTTAAATTTAAGTTAAACCTTCTAAGGTAAGACTGGGGAGAAACCGTATATAGGATTCTGCAGGATTTAAATTAAAGTTTTATTTTTTTTAATGTTTGGCATATTTAGGTTAAATCCTGCTTAAACATGCTAAAATCTGTTGCCAAACGGCTCCTGAAAAACCATTTTCCTATAAATATTGAAGTTGTGTTTTGGGATTGCTTTCGTTTGCGTGGTGGCCCGCCATTGGGTGCTGACTCTCAATCCTGTCACCGTTCTCTTTTTTTTCCCCAATTAGGGTTTATTGATTGTAGTATGGCAGGTGTGGTAAGATTTCTCTAATTTATGTGGCTCGGGATGCGTCTGTTAAGTTTAAGCCTTTAAACAGGAAGGGCATCCGTAGTTGATTTGTGAATTAGGGCATTATGTTATAGGCTTCGGTCGAAACTTGTGGCGTAGATGTAAAATTGAAGCGTTTTTTTTGATTTTTTAGTTGGCTGATTACTAAATTTAGTATCCGTACTTGACATATTTTTGCTATAGGTTGGGTCAGGGTTTTCAAAACTTTGAGAAACTACCGTTTTAACGAATAAATCTTATTGCTTCTAATTTTATTCCATACCTTCATACGCAACTTTGGGTAGCTGATTTTGTTGTTGTTAGTGTTGGGAAAAGTGCATCTTTGGTAGTAAGTATAATATAAAAAAGTTAAAAAAAATAAAAATAAAATTATTTATGTGGTTCAGAGAGATTCACTTACTTCCACAGCCTTATAGAATAAACGATCCCCTAATCTAGAAATAATTATGAGATATAATATATTTGCAGACCCTAAACATATCTCCTTGCATTTTTGTTCACCTTTAACTTGATTATTAACCCTTGACAACTAAAAATCTCAAACCATATCGAAATTTGGAGAAAGAATAATATTAGCAATTTTATGAGCTTGTATGTATGTGTGTGTATGTATGTATATATGATGCTAAATAATACACCTTGTGAATTAATGCACCTTTCCTACTTCCACTTCTCTGTAATTGAAAATAATTTGAATTTTACTTTTTTATTACTTTTTTATCACTACCTCATCCTGCTCTGATCTTCATCCTTGCTGAGTTGCTCCATTGACCATCAGGACTCGACCTACGGCTACTATGCTTCTCTAACTCAGGTTGTCGGCCACCCCTTTAGATAACATTCATGCAATCTTCTCATAGTTGAACATCATCTCTTGAATCGAGAGCCCTTAATGCCATCCATAGGTTGAAGCTGAGAATTGCCTCATACTCTTTGATTTTATCTTTCTTTTATAGAACAACATGAATTTGAAGCTAGCTAAAGTGTCAATGTGATCTTGAGTTTGATAGCTAAGAAATTTGTAAATCAAAATCAGATTTGGTCTAAATCTTATCCAAGATTTTCATGAATTTAAAGTGGATTTGAAGTCAGAATTTTATGAGACAAGTATGGGGAAAAGGCTCCACGCATACATCTTAATAATTTCCTACTTGGCCATTAATTTTGCTTATGTATTTCTGTGAGAGGGAATCATCTATCTATGCTGCATACATCTTAATAATTTCCTACTTGGCGATTAATTTTACTTTTGTTATCCTGTGAGGGAGAATTATCTTTCTATGCAGCATCCCTTCTCAATCAATCACAATGGGTTGATTGAGGCATTGTAGTGCCTCAATCAATCAATGATATCATGCCAACCTTTATCTAACCTTTGCTTTACAATATACCATTTTCTTTGCAATAGTTGTGATGAACTTTTCTTATTTGATGTCTTTGCAAAATTCATGTGTCAATAAGGGATTCTATTTTCATTAATAATAATAATTATTCATATTGTTCCTCCAAGTTGGGATAAGGCTAATGAAGATTATGATATATCCATCCATGAAGGGTATTTTCTCTCTAATATTAAGTAGGTTTCTAGACCTTTTAAGCATTTTTAACCAATTAGAAAGCCTGTTATATACCATTTTCCTTGCAATAGTTGTGATGATCTTTTTTTATTTGATGTCTTTGCAAAATTCATGTGTCAATAAGGGATTCTATTTTCATTAATAATAATAATTATTCATATTGTTCCTCCAAGTTGGGATAAGGCTAATGAAGATTATGATATATCCATCCATGAAGGGTATTTTCTCTCTAATATTAAGTAGGCTTCTAGACCTTTTAAGCATTTTTAACCAATTAGAAAGCCTGTTATATACCATTTTCCTTGCAATAGTTGTGATGATCTTTTTTTATTTGATGTCTTTGCAAAATTCATGTGTCAATATAGGGATTCTATTTTCATTAGTAATAATTATTATTCATTTTGTTCCTCCAAGTTGGGATAATGTTAATGAAGATTATGATATATCCATCCATGAAGGGTATTTTCTCTGCAATATTAAGTAGGTTTCTAGACATTTCAAGCATTTTTAACCAATTAGAAAGCCTGTTACATACACTACTACAGTTGGCAAATTTTTTTGCCTGCTGATTATTATTGAGGTTCACAATGTATTTCTTAGCTTATAAATGAACCTAATGTTTGGAATCTCCTGTTTCTTTTGTCAAAATATTGCTTGTATTTTTCTTATTCTGTTAGTCTTTCTTGCCAAGCATGATTTTTAAAAGCGTCAATATTTTCCTGAAAAGTTTTTTTTTTTTTTTTGTAATAGTGTATTCCATTTTAAAATGTTTAGCCCGGTTTATGGAGATCCAGTTGATTTTATGTTTTTCTGACTAAGGTAATATGTCTTCTGAATAAGCAGAAGCATTAATTTGCAACTTTCTAAGGAGCCATGTCTTTGAAGCAGCATATTGCAATTTTTACCACTGCAAGCCTACCCTGGATGACTGGCACTGCTGTCAACCCTTTGTTTCGGGCTGCTTATCTTGCTAAAGATGGTAGCAGAGAAGTTACTTTGGTGATTCCATGGCTTTCTTTGAAGGATCAAGAAGTAGTATATCCCAACCAAATTACTTTCAGTTGCCCATCAGATCATGAGGCTTATGTTCGGAAATGGCTGGAAGAAAGGGCTAATATCAGACCACAATTCAGCATAACCTTCTATCCTGGAAAAGTAAGTGATGTTTCCATATAATTTGAATGATTACAGAAAAATGAGAAGTGTTAAAATAATCTCCGGCTCTTTGTAGCGAGTCATTTTAGTCTCAAAGTCTATAAAATGCCAAGTTAGTCCCTATGTTCTTTTAATGTGGGCTAAAGAATCTCCATGAGGACTATTTCAACCCCAATTTAAAAATTATGAGAACTAATTTAACACTTTTATAGAATCTAGGACTAAAATTGCCTCATGTAAACAACAAGGGGATTATCATGGCACCTTACTTTTGGAGAAAATGACATTTATAGCCTTGCAATAGTGAGTTTAATTTCTTTCAGCAATTTACAAGAATGTATGGGATGGCTATGCTGCGATGAAACATGCTTAATATCTTACAGTTTTGATTCAAATATAGATTAGAATTTCTAAGCCTTTGGATGTGAAATTTGTGAATGTGATATAATTTTCGCGCCTTCTGATGGTTTAATCACATATTAGGACTCATTATTCTCATTTGTAAAAGGAGTGTTTTTTTTTTGAAGAAAAATTTGAATTAGAATAAATCAGTGTTGTCAAAAACTTAAGGCTGGTTCAATTACAAGTGTTTCAGAGAAGGATCAATATTTTGTACATTTTCCTCTTTCAATGGAAAGGAAAGAAGGGTATAGAATTATATTATTTCCTTGTTACCAAAGGGAGTGAGAATCATCAAGTAATATTTCAAACCAACGATCTTATGAGTTTCAAAGCAAGGACATTGAATACTGGAGCAACAACATTTTCTCATACCTTAACATTTTATAAGCATGACTTGTTTTAGTCAATCCACATGCTTATTGAAGTTTCACCTCTCTTGGTTTGTTAACTGGATTTACTATTCCACTAAACCAAATTATTGGTTAATAAATGCCATAGATCGAACTTTGAAAGAAAAAAAACTAAAATTTCCACAAATTATAATTTTTGTTTATGTCAAAGTAGTCCAAATGCTTATGCTGGCATTGTTTCTTCGAGAACATCATACTTCAAAATGGTTCTAATAATTATTTTTTTCTCAGCACAAAATTGATAAAAAGAAAGATGCTTCCATATAACAAATAAGATGATTTATACTTCAAAATAGAAGGTGATGTCATGGTTGCTATTATTATTGCAGATTCTTAGACCATGGGCCAACACCCTTTCATGTTACTATTTCGTTTTCAGGCATTAACACATTGCTAAAACGAATAAGTAGAAGCCAAATTTACTCAAAGTTTCTAATATCATGTAAGCATTTGAGGGTGGTATTTCAAGATCTGGAAGTTTTTGTACAAGATCCTTGATCTTTCTGATCAGTTTCCAATCATGATCCTTTAATCGTTTATCACCATGAGGTGATGTCTTTTGATAAAGAAGACCAAGTAATATACATAAGTTAGGAATATAATTTCGAGCATAATTAAGAATTCCTAATTAGGATCTCATTCCCTGTTTTTCCTTGAGTTTTCTTCTGGAAAATCGGGAATTTTTCTTATAATATGCGGCTGCAATTTAATTTTTCTTTTTCCTATAACAACACTATGGAATTCAATTTCAAGAACCACAATTTTCATTTTTGTTGGGGACAAAACTAGCCCTTCTACTTCAACAATTAAGAGAAACTTCCCCAAATGTCTTTTATGATCTGCCTCATTTTCACTGAAAATAATGATATCATCTATATATACAACAAAAAATTCTGTACAATCTTTAAAGCAATGATTCATCTTCCTCTGGAAGATAGCGGGCGCATTTTTAAGCTCAAATGACATAACCAACCATTCATATAATCCAGTGGGGGCAATAAAAGTTGTCCATTCTATTGATTCAAGATGCATCGCAACCTGATTGAAGCCACTTTTCAAATCGAACTTTGGTTTCTACTTATTCGTTTTAGCAATGTGTTAATGCCTGGAAGCAAATATTAATCTTTATGTGTATTGTCATTTAAGGATTTATAGTTAAATATGAGGCGTTCTTTCCTACGTATTTCCTTGCCAGTTTTAGGATCAATGGACATACCTGAATTGACTATGATAGTCATTGTTCTGTGCCTGTTTTTGCTTGACCTTATTACTTTCAGTTCCAACAAACTATCAATATGTTTTTTGAATGTTTCTCTTGATTACCCAACCCTTAAACCTGAATCTTCATCTACTGAACTATTTTCTACTCCACTAAATCATTCATCTCTCGAAGAAGAGCCTGAAATCCTATCTACTCTTCAGACATGTTATCCAACCATTGAAGGTCAACTTGCTGATCTGGATTTTCTTCGGTTAAAGAAAATGGCATCAAAGGCTGATAGTCTTTATGCATCTGTCTCTTCTTCCTACTTTTCTCCTAACGAACCAGTCATGAGTCCAGTTATGTATCCACCTGCCACTATTGGTTCTCAAGCTGACCTCTCTTCTTCTTCGAATTCTTTTCAAAATTTGAGGGCTCGAACCATTGATTTCAAGAAGACATCAATAAAATATGTGGACTTTGCCTTCAGCACAAAGTACTGAAGGTGTTCTATTAGTACTACCTGATGACTTTTTCTTGTACGATGATGTTATATCAAGGTGGGAATCTATTACCTTGAACTTAATCAATGATAAGCAGTTTGTTGACAATAAGACAAAGGTACTCTTTATTGAAAATCTACTTGGTGAAGTAGAGAAGAAAATATGGATCCAATGGCGGATGACTTACGAAGAAGAATATGAAGCGCTGATAAACATAGCGGATGATCCTCAGAATGTTCTGTCACAAATACGTCGAATTATATTGCTCGAAGATCCTTATCAAGGGTCTACTGATGAACAGAACCGCTCATACTTGGATCTGGAAAGGTTGACATGCTTTGAAATTAAGAGCATGTTCGATTATATGAATGATTATAAAGTTCTGACAGCGAAATAAGGACGTATGTACATTAACACGGAGCTATCTGAGAAGTTCTTCAGAAAAATGCCTCCAATTATCGGAAACGAAATTGAACAAGTATTTAAGAAGAAATACCCTAGTAATACTGTTGGGTATTACCAAGAATCAGATTCACATGTTAGTACCTGATAGATTTGTACAAACTTGCCGCAGTAGATCTCACAATTTGTAAGAAGATCCCTATACCAGGCTTCTATAATCAGCATAAAAGGTACGGTTTACGAAAATCCAAAAACTACAAAGAAAAACCACACAATTCACATTATTCGTGTGATAAAGAATAAAAATAAGCCTAAATCATGAAAATGTCGTTGTTACATTTGTGGTGATGTGGGTCATTTTGCTCGAGAATGTCGAAACAAATAGGGGAATATGGCTAGAACAACCATATTGAAAAATTTGGAGCTCCCTGAAGATTATGATGTTTTGTTTGTTGATTTAAATGAAGCCTTCAGATGCAATTTGCTCAATCTCTGAAAGAGAATGAGCCAACACTCTCATCCATATATGTAGCGCATTGGAGAATTGTCCAATGGATGAATATGAATTTATGATGAAAGAAGATTTTGGTTGGCGATGCGCCGTCAAATTAGCCGAAGATCAAGAGCTATGTTCCCATCAATGAGAGCAAAATAAACCAATTAAATGTCAACATGCTCGCTGCTCATATTGTTTTATAATTACAAATATAAACATGAAGATTCATTGCACTATTTGTAAGTTGACTGCTTGCCCACTGTGCAAAGTTTTATTTATCAATTATAGTTAAGGAAGAATTGTCTTTACTACAATTCCAATCAAATGACAATTTGTTTTATGAACTAGTAAAATATAGTGAACATTTGCTTGAGGAAAATCATCGCCTCAAAGAAAAATTTCAACAAGAATTGGAGTAAAATTTGCTTAATGATATGCAGGAATCAACACTGCATGATAAAGGCAAGAAGGTTGTCTTTACTGAAGAAAATAATGAAGACGAAGAAATTGAGCAATTTGTTGATGAAAGTGGAATAAAAGTACTAAGCGAATTACTTAAGGAACAAGTACAAAAGCCTCCAAAACGAGTCATCAACAAACTGTACAACATGATCATCACTTTCGAAATACTTGGAGTTGAAAGATTCTAACTGCAAGCAATCTTGGATACTGTCATACTGGGGCAACATCATGTTGCGCTAGCATAAAAGATCTCCCTAAGGCTGCATTTGAAGATCTTAATTATCAGGTTTCTTTTAGCGGAGTAAATTCGACTACACAATCTGGTAAGAAAATAAAAGGAAAAATGTTTATTTGCGAACACAGTTTTCGAATTCCGCTTATATACTATATGGAAATAGAGGTAAAGGGTGGCATACAGATGCTCCTTGGTTGCAACTTCATCAGAAGTATGCAGGGAGGCATGCGTATTGAATGAAACATGGTCACTTTCTATAAGGAAGTCACACATGTGCCAACCACTACTGACGTAGAAATCATTTCCAAACAAATTCTTGAATTAAAAATTGATTATGATTTCTACACTGAAATGCAACCAGAATTCTTTTATTCCAACATTTCAACTCATGAAAATCCATTTATGAAAAAATTCAGATCAATTTTTCAAAAATTACAAAATAATGGATGTATTGGTGATAATCCTCAAAAACATTGGGCGAAAAACTAGGTGATGTGTAAAATAAAGATTATCAACCCAGATCTGACAATACACGATAAACCTCTTAAACACATTACTCCAGCAATGCATGATCAATTCAAAAAACATATTGATAGTCTGCTGGAACTGAAAGTAATAAGGCCAAGCAAAAACAAATACAAAACAATGGCTATCATAGTCAATTCAGGTATGTCCATTGATCCTAAAACTGACAAGAAAATATATGGGAAAGAACGCCTCGTATTTAACTATAAATCCTTAAATGACAATACACATAAAGATTAATATTTGTTTTCAGGCATTAACACATTGCTAAAACGAATAAGTAGAAGCCAAATTTACTCAAAGTTCGATTTGAAAAGTGGCTTTCATTAGGTTGTGATGCATCCTGAATTAATAGAATGGACAGTTTTTATTGCCCCCACTGGATTATATGAATGGCTGATTATGCCATTTGGGCTTAAAAATGCACCCGCTATTTTTCAGCAGAAGATGGATCATTGCTTTAAAAATTGTACAGAATTTCTTGTTGTATATATGGATGATATCATTATTTTCAGTGAAAATGAGACAGATCATAAAAGACATTTGGAGAAGTCTCTTAATTGTTGAAGCAGAAGGGCTAATTCTGTCCCGAACAAAGATGAAGATTTCGGTTTCTGAAATTGAATTTCTTGGTGTTGTTATAGGAAAAAAAAAATAAATTACAGCCTCATATCATAATAAAAATTCCCGATTTTCCAGAAGAAAAACACAAGTAAAAACAAGACATGAGATCCTGATTAGAGATTCTTAATTATGCTCGAAATTATATTCCTAACTTAGGTACTTTACTTGGTCCTCTTTATCAAAAGACATCACCTCATGGTGATAAACGATTAAAGGATCATGACTGGAAGCTGAGCAAAAATATCCAAATATATCAAAGATCTTGTTCAAAAACTTTCAGATCTTGAAATACCATCCTCAAATGCTTAGATGATATTAGAAACTGATGGTTGTATGAAAGGCTGGGGGGAATCTGTAAATAGAAAATGACAAAGAATGATTCAAGATCCTCTGAACGGGTATGTGCTTATGCTAGCGGAAAATTTCCCGTTATAAAATCAATAATTGATGCTGAGATATATGCATGCATGGAATCACTCAACGCTCTGAAGATTCATTATATGGATAAATTTGAGATTATCTTAAGAAAAAATTGTGAAGCTATCATCGCATTCTATAATAAAACAGCCTAAAACAAACCATCTCGTGTTAGATGGTTAGTTTTCACCGATTTTATCAACGGATTTGGGATCGTCGTTCATTTTGAACACATAGACGGAAGAAATAACATCCTCGCAGATTCTCTTTCACGATTAACGTTGTTCTTATTGCAGATAACGAAGAAGAAGTTTAATTCTTATTCTTTAATATCCAAGAATGGACTCAGGAAGTAGCAGAGGAAAAACTGTTAAGGGAAAGAAAGAATATAGTGAAGTTGCATCAAATTTTCAATGGATGCGCAAGGGCACAACTGATCGAAGATCATACAGCTCAAAGGAAGGAAGAAGTACATTTAACCAAACCCGTCCTTATGATGCAATCCGAAGGCCTAAAGATGCCAGTGATCTCCACCGGGAGTTACTCTGGGAAACTTTCAACTTCCCAATATTCGGTGACGCATTCGATAAATTGCGAGGAGCTGCTAAAAGAATGGAATCCGAACAAGTCCAGCGAGTACTTGAGGAGTTACGAATCCTCCCTTGCATCTATGAAAATAAGTCTAAGTACTGCCGCAGCAGAGCAACCAAGGATAACGTCTGGTAAGACATCGCTCTCTCCGTATGAGATGGAACAAAGGCTAGGTAGTCTAACTGGTATCATTATGGATGTAACAGGTCAATGTCTTGAAAATAGCGTATAAAGTACGAAATTGTGTGTATGTATTTGTCTGTATTTTATTTAAGTGAAGCATGTGATGGGCCCCACCCACTATCTATATTATGTGAACCAAAAGAATATTTTGGTGCGTCTGTGCTGGGAAACATCTTTCTTTCAGCTGGTATTGGTGCGTCTGTGCTGGAAAGCATCTTGCTTTCAGCTGGTGATTTGTATTATTGAATTTGTGCTGTAAACCATTTTGCATTCAGCTAGTGGTTTTTGCTTTTTGAAAACCGTGGGCTACTTTTGCCCCTAGTTTTCTATTTCCTGTGGGCGAAACCATGGTTTTACATCGTGGTTTTCTCCTATTCTTTATCTATATATAGGAGTCAGTTCATGAGTTGCAGATATCCGGTCTTCAACCCGGAGTCTACTTCTCTCTTGTTTGTAAGTCTTCTAAGTCTTCTTTTCAATAAAATTTAAGTTTTCTTAGTAAAAGTTTTTGTGTTTTTTCGGAAAAATTTATGTGTGATCCCAATCTGGCGATCTATCCACTCCTCTGCTTCTTTTTGGTATCAGAGCCATGTTGGGCTAATCCTTTTAAAGTACTTTGAGTAAGCTTAGTAGGAACCTTGACTTGTTAAGTTTGTCTAGCTCTCACATGTTATTTAGCTATAATTCATATTATTGATGTTATATTTTCTTAAAATAAGACGCTGCTATTTAGTATGATAAGCTAGTAAACTTGAGTACCACGACGAGATCCCCGAGAAGAGTAGGTACACTGTGGAATGTAGGGTTGAAAAGGATCTACTAAGCTAGTTCAGGAACTTATTTTTAGAATTTATAATTTTAATCATATGAGTTCTAGCTTATGACATGGATAAAGTTAGATGAAATAACATATCAAGTTTTAGAACAGTAAACTCAGGGTGCTTAATTTCTTCTATTTTGATTTTACTCTCTTATGAACGATTGGAAGCAGTCAGCTGCTTCTACAGATTATAAACTTGCTCTTTCAGCTACTGATTCGTTAGAACCTTCTGCTCTTGGTTTTTGTAAATCAGAAATAGAACTTTCAACAGATCTATTACTTTCGGAGTGATCTCTCTGTATATATATATATATATATATTCTTTTGGAGTGATCTCTCTGTGTATATATATATATATATATATATATATATATATACACACACAAAATGTTGCTTTTTATAAAAGGTAGACTTCCCTGCTTCTTTGAATTATTTGTTCTTTAATTTCCTTTTTCATAATGACTTTGTTAATTCAACGAGCATCATATGTTACTAAAAGCATGTTGCATTCAATATAAAGATTAAGGTTTAATGACTACCAAATTAGATTCAGTTTCAATCACAGCGAGGGCTGATGCTGATCCTTGACAAAACTATGACAAAGCTAAAGAATGCTCTACTCTTTATTACTAAATATTGGTTTAGTAAACATCTAAGGATCAATTTTAGTGTTAAAATCTTGATGTTGGTCTTTCTAATGAATTTTGTTTAATTTTTTTTTTCTAGTTTTCAATAGAGATGAGGAGCATTCTACCCGTTGGCGATATCACAGAAACTATTCCGGATGAGAGAGCAGATATTGCTGTGCTAGAGGAACCTGAACATCTTACGTGGTATCATCATGGACAGAGGTGGAAAATTAAATTTCGTCGAGTCATTGGCGTTGTGCACACCAACTATTTGGAATATGTGAAAAGGGAAAAGAATGGGCACATACACGCCTTCTTTTTGAGATACATCAATAATTGGGTTATTAATATATACTGCCATAAGGTAATTTTCTCAGGACTCCTCAATTGTTTTTTTGCTAAGTATTAAATCTAAGTCTATTTTTGCAATTTTCTTCCGAACTTGTGAAAGAGAGTAATTGCCATATATGACAAGTAATTTTGTCTGTTTTCCTTATTCCATGTTTTTATGCTTTGATAGTTAGTATGAACAGGCCTTGTGGTTTTTTATTTGTAATAGAGTTTGATGAAGTTTTACATAAAGATAAGCTTGCAAGCTCAAAATATATTTAGCTCCTTGAACATTGAATGCACAAACATTTAGAGATATGAATGAATTTGTTATATAATGCACTATTTAATAAGTAAAATTAAATGAATGTGCAATTACACAATAGCATCTACAATTCTTAGAGTGATTATTCATATGATTTCGATATTCTCCATACGTCATATTACTTTTTAAGCATTCGGTTCAATTCTAATCATTTTATTTGTTTGCTTTCTAATCCAATAAGTTTGAGCATGTATGACTGATTTTGTTTCAATAATTAGAACTTCTTAGAATCAAATTAATTGTTTTCTTATAAAAAAAGCGTTCCAAACTATCAATCAATTTTAAAAACATCTCTAGGCTATGCCTCCAATCAATTGTAATTATATAATTTACTCCTCCAAATAGCTCCATCGTATTTATTTAAAATCATTACTTTTTATTAAGTTCTTTTACTGATATGAGATACACAATCTAAATACATAAGCACAATCCAATGGTTGCCAGCTTTTAACTTTAGCAATGATAGATTTCTTTCGATGTAGAAATGAGTAGCTCGGGTCATTCATTCCGAATAATAATGTAATAATTATTGATCTAAAATTCATAAGAAAATTGTGAACAGTATGAAATTTAAGCAGCCATTCCGTTTTACACATGAAAATGTATTTGGCCTGTATAGCACAGGACACTTCAATCACACACACACCAACCAAAATAAATTAATAACACGAGTAAGGAGAGAGAGCATCCAAAAGGAAGATTCAGTATCTACCCCGCACAGGGAGACTGTCCCCAAAGTAATCATTAACACCTACAAAGCGCTCCAAGATTGCATATCAACCCTGCACGCAAAAGTTAGCGAAAATTGAAAATTTTCTTCATAGTCAATCATACAATAGGGATCCTATTTATGTAGTCCATAAAAACTCAGAATCCCACAATATCTTTTTAAAAAAAGTGCAATTATAATTCTATTAGTTCTTAAATCGTTGGAATCATTTTTAGATTTAACAATTTTCAAAACTAGTTTGATTAAAACAATCGGTACTGTTGGCAAGTTAGCAATCAGCTGCTTGAAGTTGCAGGACTATAGCAATCAACTCCTTACTGGAACTGTAGTAATAATAATAAATAAAATAAAATTAAATTAAACCTTATTGGTAAAATATAATATATCTCTGAAGCAAAACATGCTTCTGAGTGCTCGAGCAAATATTTTGTTTGGGTTTTTACATATCCACCACTCAAAACATTGAATGTTTCATTTTAACCAACCAAATTTTAAATATAACATTTTAACCATACAAAAATTTAAATTTAACCTCTCTCAACTACTCAAAATTTTCACTCAAAACTTTCATTAGTGAGTAATGGAGGGTCCTTATGATGAAAAAAATGGTTAACATGTTATTTAAAGTTTGGGCAGTTGCTATGTAAAAACTTCTATTTTGTTTGGTGTGGTCTGTTTTTAGTTTTATTTTTTTATTTTTAAATTTTTAAGATTTATATTGAGAAATCCCCAACAGAGTCCCTCCTAAGATGGCATGTTTTTTATGCCCGTGATGTTCTTATTGTGGGAATCTGATACTTTGGCTTCTAGCCTATGCTTCTTGTTGACTTCTATGAGTATCTGACTTCCAATTAGAATTTCTTATTCTATAGTAGTTTTTTGGTTTAATCACGCTTAGCTTTACAGTATTTACAGACTTTTTGTAACAGATACCAACTATTAGGGCTGTAAATCTGATGGATTATATTAAGGATCAATGGTAATTCAAAGAAATAAGAATGTTGATTTGTTAATTTCCAGGTTATAAGATTATCTGGTGCAACTCAAGATTTACCTCGATCCATCATTTGCAATGTTCATGGCGTCAACCCCAGGTTTCTCGAGATTGGCATGGAGAAGCACAGGCAGCAGCAACAAGGCAAAACCACCTTCACCAAAGGTGCCTACTATATCGGAAAAATGGTCTGGAGCAAAGGCTACAAAGAGTTACTCCAACTGCTCTCCAAGTACCAGAATGAACTATCAGGTCTTCAAGTTGATTTATTCGGCAACGGAGAAGATTCTGAACAAGTTAAAGAATCAGCAAAAAAGTTAAATCTCTCCATAAATATTTATCCTGGTCGCGATCATGCCGACCCATTATTTCATGAGTAAGTCTACCTCATTCTCGTCAACTCGAGTTTATTTAATGTACATTTGCTTGATTCTTTATCTTCTCTCTTGTAGTTACAAGGTGTTCATAAATCCAAGCACAACGGATGTGGTCTGTACAACAACAGCAGAAGCATTAGCAATGGGTAAAACAGTCGTCTGTGCTAATCACCCTTCAAATGACTTCTTCAAGCAATTTCCAAACTGTTTTACTTACAATAGTGGCAAAGAATTTGTGAAATTGACTCTCAAAGCTCTCGCTGAAGAGTCCTCGCCAGTGGCAGATGAGCTCAGGGAGAAGCTCTCGTGGGAAGCTGCGACGAAGCGATTTGTTATGGCTGCTGAGCTTGATAAGAATGTTTCTGAAGCCATCGTTCGTTCCGCTTCAAAACCTTTCATGTCTATTTCTTCTCAAGATTTGAAGAAGGGGGTAGAGGAAGCTTCTGCAATTTTATACAACAGTATTTCTGGAATAGAGGTGGCGCGCTGCGCATTCGGTGCAATTCCGAAAACTTTGCAACCTGATGAACAGATGCGCAAGGAATTAGGACTAGCTCCACGTTAAAAAGAAGGGGTCTTTACATACATACTACTTAATTTCTCTTTATTTACATACCTCTCAAATCTTTAATATCCCATAAAAATATCATTATTCTAATTTTTAGAAGCGAAATACATTTGTTATGCATAGATAAAGCGGTATGCATGTAAAAATTGAAATTTTAGTGTTAAGATATGTAAATACATCAGGATTAAGTTGTATGTATGTAAAAGTAAGCAGATGTGCAGGATATTAGGTTAACGTTGATTTTAGTTGATACAATTCCATAGTTATGAAAAATTTATTTACAGGTGGGCAAAAATATCATCATTTGTTGTAAAATTTTGCCACACCAGAGAATTTCAGAGCTTCGGCCTGAAGTGCTGGAACAGATTTGCAGTAATCATTGTGACTGATTTGTATATAATTGTCATTGTGCTGTATCTTGATTGGTGGAATTTAATTAATCAATCATTAGTCCAAAATAATACTCTTTTTAGTTTTGAAGTCTGCTAACTCCTTGATAAATTTGAATTTATTGGATTTATTATATTTTTTTAACCTAAATTTTATATGTGGTCAAACGTCCCCTATTTGGCGCAGCAGCTGCAGCTTTTTGAATAATCGGCTGATAAATTGATTAACAATAATTTGCTGATAAGTTAGGTTCCGTGACTATTATAATTTTTTATTTTTTTGAAAAAGCTAGAACGTATCCAGAAAGCTGCCAACATAATTAGATAAGTGTGGTGTGAAAATGTTGTTTTCAATGTTTTGAAAATGCATAAGCTGTCAAAACATAGTTTACTCAAACATATCATATGCGTTTTCAAAATACCATCGCACCAAATAAGTTGCCCTAATCAACACCAAATAAGTTGTCTTAATCAAAACACCACCGCACCAAATAAGATATCCTAATCGGGCCCTAAATATGATGAAATGAAGGTGAAGTAGGTTGTGGAATGTTTTCGGGGATATGAATTATGGCTTGAGGTTTTAAGCATGGATAATGTATTACTATGATGCTAGATCCTTAATGGGGATGAGATGATATGCAAGTTCTGATGTACACAAAGTAAGGAAGGGTTACATGCATACCACTCAATTCTTATGTATTTACATGCATTTGAATTATAATTTTTATAAGCATAATATTTTATCTATGCACGAAAAGATGTATTTCATTTAAAAAAAAAATTAAATTAGTGATTTTTGATTTGATATGAAAGATTTGAGTGATATAAATATAAAAGACAAAATTTAAATGTTAGATATGTAAATACAAAGGAATTGAGTGGTATGTATGTAAATGCCCTAATAGTGGGGGATTTACATACATAGCACTCAAAACATATCTATTTTCATATGTGACACCTAAACCTTTTTATTTACATATAAAACACAATAAATTATGTAAAAATACAAATAAAGCACTTTGTTTACTCCCCCGTAAGGGAAGAAAATGGTAAGCGATTTTTGATGTTTTATATGTAAATATGAAAGGTTTATGTGTTAGATATGTGAATAGATATGTTTTGAGTGCTTTGTATGTAAATCCCCCAAGAATTAAATGGCTCGCATAGGATGTGCAATTAAATAGATGTGTGGGTGTTATATGGTAAATTCTCAGGTTATTTATAGAATCTCTGTCGCCCTCACCTCAGAACTTTGCAAGGAAACACAATACACTGCACTCTTTAGCTAGTCACTTTTTATGCAATTAAATTCATGCTTCCTACCTAATATGTTGAATATGTTAATTCAAGCATTTACTTTTTATTTTTTATTTAATTTTAATATTCAGATAGTTTTCATGAAATTTTCAGAAGTTTATTAACCCTCGCGCTTATTTATGTTTGGAACTATCAATAAAAAAACGAAAAAAAAAAAAAAAAACACAATAGGGCTACAGATTTAAATTATTGTTGATGTGTTTGAAAGTTATGGAAAATAATTTTTGTAAATTATTGTTAAAACCAGTTAACAGTAAAATATTGTTTTAAAAAACTTTTCTAGCTTTTGCTTGATGAAGTCTGTTCATCCTATTGTGCCTTCAAACATTGTATTCATTCTCTCATAGAGGTTGTTTTGGTGAATAATGTGCATAAGAATGCTCTTGTCTTCAACATGGTATCAAAATAGGGTTAGCTTAAACCAATCTAGGACAGAACAATAGTCAAGTGCCAAATCAAGTGCCAAATATACTGCCTAGTAACCTACTCCTAGCCTAACACGCAATTTAACAGAAAGTGTTTAACTGACATCTAAGTGCATAGAGTAAATCTTTGGCTACCATATGACTTTGACGAGGTTGTCACACTTGCCTCGTCTTAAAGATCGAAGGGAACTGAAGCACGTCAAAAGAAATTGGGTGACATTTTAAAAAAGATGGCCTCATGTATGGTATAACATACATAATTTTAAATTACGTGCATAATATTTATAGTAGCAAAATATCCATTTTTATACCTTAAAATAGTGGGCCATAAAATGCGGGTCCATGACGCATTTTATGTAACTTAGAGTGCTTGAATACATAGCATAATCATACTATTTGTTGCTTGTGATATAGAAACTTGCATTGCTCACCAAGAAATCATCATGAGCAACGCTCGTTTGAGTATCACGACCAAAAAACCAGTCACTCTCCTAACGAGCAGGATAAGCCATCAAGACAAATGGGCAAACATGAAAACATGCAAAAAACATACATTATGATTGTTCAACTGATGCTTGAAACAATCACAATGGGCGCCCAAAATGGTGAAACACACATCATGCAAATGAATGCAAGGATCCTTCATACAACATGACACACACAAATGAGATATACCAGTAAAACAATCTACCCATGGAAAGGAATTACAACTGCCCAAGGACCCGAGGTGCCATGCGACAAGCAGACGCCGACTACAAGTGAATTTGTATCGAGTAAAATGATACATATGAAAAAGATTTACTCCTTACCCGAGAGCATTAACCGAGCACACATACAAACATACAAGGTATTCAACAAGCATATGAGAAATGTAAAAAAAAATGACTTGCAGAAAATGTTAAGGATACAACGTATAAATGAGAAGCATACAAAAATGTTAAGTTTCAAGCAAACTAAGTGATGTGATCCTTACAAGTGAGAATCACACATCAAGGCAGACACACATTGTGCCTCGCACGAGTTCAGTGACTAAGAAGTGTGACTCGTGCTTAACATAATGTGAAATACCTACGACTCTCCAGGTAGCGTCGTAGGGAGTGAGATAGATGGCCTATAAGTGAGTCAATTCCTCTCAAAGTGTGCAAGTATCCATCTCCGTGCATACAACATCGTATGCGAGGAAGACATTTACAAGTGTGTGCACTTAAAGAGCCACCACAAGTGGGGGATCTCCGAGAGACACCCCCATCATGGATGCTCGAAGAGACATCCAAACATGCCTCAAGCAAAACATACAAGGAAAAAATATTTTTATATGTAATCAGATATCGTAGACATCAATTCGAAATGAGATTTTCATACACATGCAAATAAACATGCAATATGATGCAAAAATCATACAAACATGCAAGTGACTGGTCGACCAAGTCGCACAACTGGTTGAACTGAAAGCGTGAGTCGACTGATCCAGGACGATCGATCACACTCAAAAGAGTAGGTAATTGGCTCGGGATGGCCGATCAAGCCTAAAAGAATAGGTGATTGACCTGGGACTGACGTTCAAGCCCAAAAGAACGGGCAATCAACCCGAGATGACATATCAAACTCAAAGCGGACAATCGATATGTAACGATCAAATGGACCCATAATAGTGTGTAATCAACATGAGACGATCGATTGAACTCAAAAGAAAAGATAATCGGCCCAGGAGGGTTGATCACACCGAAAGCTGGTGATCGACATGTGGTGTTTGATCGAACCTAAAAGAAAGGGCAATCGACTTAGGTCGGTTGACCACGCCCAAAGTAGGTGATCGACATTGGCGGTCATTCGAACCCAAAAGAGCGGGTGATCAGCTCGGGATGAATGATCAAATCTAAAGCGGGTGGTGATCATTTCAAGGAGGTTGATTGAACCGAAGTGCTCATACAATTAAACATATACTATCCAAAATGCCACAAATGAGAATGCTAGCAAGGTAAACCAAAACACTTCAACGACACGTTGAACTTGTACTATCGACCTCGCATAGGTACCTACAATTTTCACACGTGGATATGTGGCATAGCCTCCTCTAATTGTAAGTGCATGGAATTTTCCCTCTCGATTGCTTAGAGAAATGGTTCTCCGGCTCTTACAAAACGGACTAGCTACAAAGCTTTTTTTCGTTTTGCAAGTGCAATGTTTCAATCCCTCCACGGAAGATTGGATACCACTACAACCATGGGAAGTTGAGATTCAGACCCACTTACGTGAGGGCTAAGGCTTGCAAGAAAACACTCTTAGCTTTGTTAGGGACTTGGCCACAAATGTAAAGTGCTAACTTAGGGTTTTCTCTAAGATAAAATTGGCTAATCAATAGGCGTATGATCATGCTGACTAATGTCATTTGACCAACTTGTCTGGCATGGGCGACCAAAACCTATCACGACACCACAAAACTAGCCAATCAAAAGGCGTATGGTCGGGACGATCGATATCATTCAACCAATCAGATCTTTCTATAACGAGCGATCAATGGAGTTGGACGATTACAGATGGTTGGTCAAAACTGCTTCGTGTGGGCGGCCAAACCCGCAACACCGAGGGAAAATCTATCCCTTGGACTATCTAAGAAAGAAAAGGCAAGACCTTTTTAAAAATATCGCCAATATAAAAGTTGTTTGATGTCCGGTGAAGTCCGAGAAGAAGCTCTCCTCAAAAAGAGAGAAGACACTCACACTTTTCTCTCAAGAATAACGAAGCTCTCCCCACAAGGAGATTCAAACGACGTCACGAACTCCAGTGAAGGTCTTTCTTCAAAGTATGAAGAAGCTCTCATAAAGAAGGAGATTTCAGTGAGGCATCACACAATAAATCCCTCTCTTCCTCTGTCTTCTCCAGCGAAGTGGTCGCCGGAAAAGCAAACAAAGAGGAAGAAGGAGAAGAAAATGGAAGAAAGAAGTGAAATGAGGAATATGGAAGAAGAAGGGGAAGTTCCCTCAAAGCACACAAGAATCTCTTCAAAATCCCTCCACAAGCTCCTCAGACTCCCACAACTCTTCTCGGGCTGAATCAACAATCCAGGGAATGATTGAAAAGAAGAAGAATGAAGAAGATGGAGAAGGTGAAGTAGAAGAAGGAGAAAATGGAAGAAATCCCTCACCAAATCCTTCAAAACCTTTCAAGAAACTCCCCGAAATACTCTCCCAAAATGAATTCGTGATCCTCCTACTCTCCATGATGTCAGCTTGCTTATCTGAGATAATCCATTGGATAGGTGCCACATAGCCATTTATTTGATGGATTTTGATCCAAAAATAGAAATAGGATTTTAAA